TTATATTCCAGTATTCTCTCCAAGGTTCTGCTGTAAAAATAATATGCAGGTGACAGGTCTTCGTATGATGGCCATCTTGGTCCATAATTCTTATGATCTCTGACGGATTTCTTGTCTGTTGGTTTATGTGTCTTGTGAATGATTATTAGATAAGCTTCTTGTCGCGTAGCTCAGATAATGTATCCGATCACATACGGTATTATTATTACGCGTTTAATGGAACTGATAAACAAGCCTTGTGACAGAGCTTGCCAAAAATAAATACATAAATAAATAAATATTGCAGAAAATAAGAAAAAGAAAAAAAAACTGCGAACAACGATTTACAATATTTGGCTTGTAAAGAATGTAAAATGGGCGAAGTGAAAAAGTATATATAGATAATGGCGCTTAGTTGAGAGGCGCGAATCGTGTAGCAGCGTGCGGAAGACAGGCCGAGCAGAGCCAGGGCAGAGCTTAGCCGATTCGACGCTAGATGGCAGCAGCTGTTGGCTTAGTCGCCGGTCATCATCTCCATGAACTCTGGGAGGGAGGAAGAAGCGAACATGATTTATTATATTCACGCTTTTCAATTCAAGGGCCTTATGTCTGCCATATTTACTGTATGTGAGTGATTTATGGCCAAGAATATAGGAGCGTTAAAGATGAATAGGAATGGCTACAAAGAGATATAATTCATGTTTTCACTCAAACATTTCCACTTTCCTAAATACATGATATATTGCCTAATCCCGTGGTGTGCTGTATTCGTTATAAAGCGAAAACTATTTGTAAGTGAAATCTTTCGAGCTAAACCCGTAGACTTTTATCAAACAATGCCTATCCATTTGCTAGTTCTAGATTTTCTTCTAAAAGTTAACCCTCCATTAAGTAGCCTGAACAGCTGAGTCGACTTTTCTATCACTGACGTAAATTGTAAGCTTTTATTAGTTTTCATGATATAAACTGCTAGTTTTCTTGGTTGAAGAAACTAACGACCAGAGGCAAAATTATGGAAAATGTTCTAGAGATTATTTCACTGTAATCTCTTGACATAAAGCATAGAGGCAATATAGTGTTAACACGATATTGAACATTAGTCGATATTTCATTTGTTATTCATTAACATGCCGACGATGTAATAAATGTAATAAAACTAATACATTAAATAAGCGTGATTTCAAAGCACAATTACAATATATATATCTATATATATATTTATTTATTTATTTTTCAAAATCTGCCGAGTCTCAAACATGGTCTGACCCGCGCTTCAGATCACTCTCTCTGTGACCGAAACAAAGTTTTCGCTCTTGGCTTCGCCGTCGTCTCGCGCACGACATTTCTATGCTGTGACCTTGACCGCCGAAAAGCCTTGTCTGTTTCCTGCACAAGAAGTTTTATCTTTTTCCCTCATCCTGGGCTGTCTTTGTTGTTATCCCGGACCCTGTGGTTTCTTTGTAGTTATCTCGATTCCTGGTTGCTGATGTGGACGGCATATCTTGGCAGGTATCTCGCGGGATCTGATTAAGGATGTCGCGGTAAGCAAGATAATGGCATTTAACCGCGGGGGCGAAAAATTAGATTTCTGCTCGCTCTCGACTCAGTGCCGCCATAATCCGTTGGCTCCGCGGTGAAAAGTTACGTTCGTTTTGAAGACCGAGAGGGATTTTTTTCTTTCTTTTATTTTCAATATACTATTTTTTTGTCAGAAGTTTCGTCTAGTTGAACAGATAAGTTGTGAAATATTGCTATCGTAGAGGTACCGCGACAGATACCAACCGAGCGGAAAGGGAGTTCTAAAGATACCGACCACGGAGCCTAAACCGATGAAAGGGATGTGTCCCCTTTTCCCTATTCCTCCTCTCCCCGTGTTCGTCTCGGTTCTCCCATCCCTTCTTTCCCCCTCCTCCCTCTCTTCCCATCTCCACTTTCACTCTTATCTTTTCCTTTCTATCCGTTTTTCTTCTCTTCCCCTTCCCCCTCTCTTCCAATTTCCCGTATCTCTTTCCTCTCCTTTCCCATCTCTCTTTCCCTCTTTCCTTCTCCTCCTTCTTATCCCCTCTTCCCCTCTACCCCTCCATCCCACCACCCCCTTCCCTTGCCCCTTAACCCCACCACTCTATCCGCTACCCCACTTACTCCCCACTTACCCCCACCTAACCCCCTAACCCCACCACCCCCTCCCAACCTCACTCCCCCTTCCTACCCCCCACCTAACCCCCTACCCACCCCCTCCAACCCTCTAACCCCACCACCCCCTCCCAACCTCATTCCCCTTCCTAACCCCACCTAACCCCCACCTAACCCCCACCTAACCCCCCTCCCCAACCCCGAAACCCACCATCGAAGTCGACGGTGCCTGACCCATCCTCGTCAATCTCGTCTACGATGTTGTCCAGGTCAGCGGAGGTCAGCTTGTCGTCCAACGCCCCCAGGATCTCCTTCAGCGCCGCCGTCGGGATGAATCCGTTACCTGACGGAGGAGCAAAAAGAAAAAGTGGTTAAAGGAGGGAATATTGAGAAGAAAAAATGTGTATATATGTATTTCCCTTTGGTTGTCATGCGAGGGGAAATTGTCAGGGTTTGATAGATAAAAGAATGAATTTGAACTATAGTCGAGGTTCTTGTTCGTCGGAAATGGATTTTGCGATGATGAGACAGGGCCGATGTCGCCCTCCCCCCTCCCCCCTCACCATCCGCTCAAAGAGAAGTTGTATATTCCTTTTAAAGAAAAAAGACTAAAAAAATGTTCGTTCAGAGAGTCCAGGAGCGACGGCAGCTTTGGCTTAGAAGGGATTCGATCGCTTTTTTTTTTTTTTTTTTTTTTTTTGCCTATATTTCAATGGATCCAATCGCTTTAAGGTATAATTTAGAAGTTTTCAGGTTATTTCTGCCACTTTTTACCTAAAATTAAGTATATATTTTTTTTTTCCCGAATGGAGCGGAATCATTTCGAAAACAAAAGAATTCAAAATATTCACTCTTACATGATCTACGCACGACCCACACACCCCACCCCACCCCCTTTGGCTTGATGATTATTAAAGTATATGTGTTTATAAGTAAAACAAAACAAAACAAAAAAACTCCCTCAATATATAAAAAAGGAAACGCGGCAAGATCTCCCGGTGAAATTACACAAAAAGGCGAACAAGGACGCCGCAGCCTCGTAGGAAATCGACGTCAGATCAATCTCTCCGCAGTAAGAGACTTCGCCGACGTCCTCACACAGAATCCAGGACTATTTGGCTTTCATGAGATTCCTCCGGCGGCTGTGGACACGGCGCGGGAGAGCTTCTTAGCGATGAATGGGAGGCGCCCGTAAGCAAACACGGAGGAGAGGGAATTGGTGCCGAATGGACGCTAAGGGTGTTGACTGGGTTTCGGATGGGTATTGAGTAGTTTTTAAAGGTGGTGGGTAGTTTTTAAGGGTGTTGAGTAATCTTTAAGGGTTTTGGGTAGTTTTTAAAGGTGGTGAGTAGTGTTTAAGGGTGTTGAGTAATCTTTAAGGGTGTTGATTAGTTTTTAAATGCACTGAGTGATTCCATAAGGGTATTGAGTACCTTTTTTCGAGGTTTTGAGTAGTTTTTAAGGATATTGAGTAATTTTGCAGAAGTGTTAAGTAGTCTTTTTAAAAGTTACTGCGTAGTTTTTTTAAGGATCTTTTAAGTAGTTTCATAAGGGTGATGAGCAGTATCGTAAGGGTAATGAGTAGTTTAAAGAGTACTGAGTTAGAGGTTTGGCGGTCTGAATACAGCGAAGAGATTTTTTCGAGAAGTGAAAGGTGAAGACAGACTCCAACCTTCAAGGGAATCAGTGTACTCGACTCTTTATAAACATGCTGTAAAAAATATATATACATCCTCCACCCATCCTACAAATCCCGATTCGTCGCGAAATGAAGGGCCATCAGCACCTGCACTGACCGCGGTCTGAGTGGCTGAGGAGGGTTCATGATCGGACAAAAATCTCCCACGACCTGCAGGAACATATCGGCAACGACCGCCAAATGGAGAGGTTGTCTGGGAGGGGGGACTCGGCAAAATTCATTCATAGAAAACGTAAACGCCCCAGATTCAGCAACCCGTTTAGTGCGCCGTCTGAAGAGAGAGTGGATGGGAAGGAAGAGAGGGAGGGGGAGGAGGAGAAAAAGAGAATTGAGGGAGGGTTAAGAGAGAGAGAGAGAGAGAGAGAGAGAGAGAGAGAGAGAGAGAGAGAGAGAGAGAGAGAGAGAGAGAGAGAGAGAGAGAGACAGAAAGGGAGAGAGAAGGAAGAGTAGAATGAAAATGGAGAAAAAACGGATCGGTGGGTGAGAGAGATAGAAACAGAACCCGAGAAAGAGAAACAAAACGACGCCAAGAAAGAGAGGGAAACCGAAAGGGAGAAGGAGACATGAGAGAAAGGTAGAATATTAGAAGCAAAAGAGACAGAAGCCGAATGAGAAGGAGGGAATGAAGAAGCACCTAGAAAGATCGAGACCAGCTGAAAATCGAGTAGAAAAGCGAGTCACGGAAAGGAAAGAGAGCGGGAGAGAGGAGGAAGGGCCGGCGGACGAAAGCAGGACGAGAGCGCGAAACAAACAGTGCCGTACGTCAAGAGATAACAGGCAATTACAGTAGCGGAAGGCAGCAACGAGGGCAATGTGACGCCTCACCTCCTTCCCTCCTCCATTGCCCCCAAGAGCACCGTTCCGCGAAGCATTCTCAAGGTCCCTCGCAGGCTCCATTTGCGGTAATTGAGGCGGATGAACTGGATGCGCGATTCGCCGACACGCAGGCGCCCCGACTACGGTGTGCTTGTTAATGTAGATTGGTTTTCGGGTTTTTAAATGCTTCTTTTGCTTTAGTTCTTAAGTAAACTGATTTATTGGATTTTGTTTGATTATTTTCGTATCTTTCTCTATTCTCAATATGAATAAATTGCAATATCCATCCTACGTGGTTACATAACACATAAAAAAACACTAAATCTACCGCCACGATTTCCGTAAGAACAGTTTCACCTAAACTTCCCACGCTTTGTGTCGAGAAATTTCCCGTTTTTTATGAAGGTGTCCCATAAGTGATCGCGGGCGAGGAGGTACAGAAAATGAGGGTCATATTGATCACAAGGCGGCCGGCATCCCTACCTCACCTGCATGCTCGCAAGCCTCTCAACCCACAGGCTGGAGAGGTTTGCAGATATAAAATCTCACACGTCAATAGAGAGGCGGCTTTTCATCCTCAGATGGCTAGAATGACAGGCTGTTTGATCTCCTCGCGACCCGGAATTCTTTTATCTCCTCGCTTCTTCACTCCGAAGGGTCGGTTATCGAAATTTCAAATGAGTATGTGAACCAATATCCGTTTTAATCTATTTTTGAGGTGAAGAATAAAACTTATGTATTGTATATTCGACATTACAATGACATTAAAGTTAATGGATGTCGAAGTGGCATGCCATTACCACGTTCATTGCATATGTTAATCAGGGAGGCTCTAACACATTTTTACAGATATCTTTTTGATCGTTTGAATACCCGTAAGACTGAGGCTTGGTACTGGACATTAAAAATATGAAATATAAAATGTTTAAAAGGATCATTACACACACGATCTGATTTTTAATGGATAAAAAAGATAGTAGAACCAATTTTATTATCTAGCTACCATATTTGAGCTCGAAATGAAATTTGCTCTGCACTTAGCTTTTTATTAGTAAAATCGGCGCTAAAAATGATTAAACACATGCTGTATGAAATTTCAAAGTCCGTCAATCGCCTAGAACCGTACAAGGAAAAAAAATTAAATCGCTTTTTCTACTGACACGTTCTCTCTCTCTTTATCTCTCTATCTATCTATCTATCTATCTATTTATTTGTCTATATATCTATCTATCTTCTTGTTTTATTAGAGAGAGAAACAGGTAAAGAGAGAGAAATAAGGAGAAAGAGATAGAAATGGGAAAGGTAGAAAGAGAAGAAGATAATGAAGAAAACAGATAGAGCCAGAAATTTAAAGAGACAGATTTAGAAACAAAATAGGAGACAGAGAAAACAGGAATATGATATACAGAGAAACAGAAAGATAGAAAAAAAAATTGTGTGAGAGACAAAACGAGAGAAAGAAACAAAGAAAGGGAAAATAAGTGAAAGAAAGAGAGAGATAATGAGAAAGAGAAATGGACTGCGAGATTCAGAGGGACAGAGGAGACTGAGACAGAGAAAAACAGACAGAAAGAAATGAGAAAGTTGTAGAGAGAGAGAAAGAGACTGAGACAGGGAGAAACAGAATGAGAAAAAAAAAACAGAAATAGACTGAGAAGGATACAGAAAGAGAGAGAAAAAAAACTATAATAACAGACAGAGATAGAAAAGCAGAAAGAGAGATACAGAGAAAGGCAGAACTTAAAAGAAACAAATGGTAGATGTACATCATTCTCTGGAAATTCATCCCTTTCACTGACCTGTTCATTCAACCCACTCAACAACCCCCCCCCCTCCTCCTCCTCACCTCCTCCGCCCCACGCCTACCAGCGCGGGCGCAGGGGTACATGACTGGTCATTATCCACTTGCGAGGATCAGGATGCCTCCACTCCAATATCTCTCTCTCTCTCTCTCTCTCTCTCTCTCTCTCTCTCTCTCTCTCTCTCTCTCTCTCTCTCTCTCTCTCTCTCTCTCTCTCTTCTCCCCCACTCTCTCTCTTCTCTCTTCTCCCCCCCTCTCTCTCTTTCTCTCTCCTCCCCCCCCCCCCTCTCTCTCTCTCTCTCTCTCTCTCTCTCTCTCTCTCTCTCTCTCTCTCTCTCTCTCTCTCTCTCTCTCTCTCTCTCTCTCTCTCCCTCTCTCTCTTCTCTCTTCTCCCCCACTCTCTCTCTTTCTCTCTTCCTCCCCCCCCCTCTCTCTCTCTTCTCTCTCCTCCCCCCCTCTCTCTCTCTCTCTCTCTCTCTCTCTCTCTCTCTCTCTCTCTCTCTCTCTCTCTCACACACTCTCCCTCTCCCTCTCTATTTCTCTTTCACTCAATCATCGGAAAGGAATTTTTAGTTATTGAAAGTTGAAAGAGTATCGTGGTATTACATAGGCTGATTATATAGCAATATATCTCATATGGAATCTGTGGCTTAGAGAGTATTTACATTCAAGTGGGTTCTCATCACAAACATGGCGTGTTGCGTCGTTAATCAGTGAATTAATTAATGAGATTAAGTTTACATCAGAACGGAAATCTTTTATACCAGTAGGATTATGAAATGTTCAATGTTCAATCACAGATAGTTATTGTGTCTATACGCTGGCAAGTTAATTTCAACCCGGTTTATTTTGTTTTCAGACCTTAGTCTATGAAGCTGTATGTAATAGTGTATAAGCTGGCCCCTAGACGTTGGCAAATTTGATATAATGTAATGATAACATATAGACTAAATCCTTTGTTCCCTTCCCTTAATGCAACCCACTAAGACTATTATTCCTTCCCTAGTTGTCTATATCATACATAGCAAAAAATACACCTACAATGAATAACTGATATACAGGAAACAGCTTT